CACCTATACCAGAGAGTAGGTTAGTTTTGTAATAATTTCTTTTTATAAAAGAAAATACATTTTTCACTTTTTTGAAGCATTTATTATGGCTATTATAGCTAAATTATTGTTTCAGTCTCTTTATTTTAATTAAAATTTTATTTTTAATTTTTCATTTTAAAATATTTCTTTTAATTTTAGAATTTATTATTTAATCCTTTCATAATCTCATTATTATTTTTTTCATGTGTGACACATTAAATAATAAAAATTTTAAAATAAAAAAATTTTAAAAATAAAATAAAAAATCTTTTTTAATCCCTCTAATTTAAAATAACTCCTTTTTAATTGTTTTACTTTAGAATTTGTATCATCTAACATAATAAGTATATAAAAAAATAATGGAATAATTAAAAAGAGACTAAATAATAAACTTTAAAGATTAAAAAAAACTTTTTTAAATAAAGACATTAAAAAAAATTTTAAATAAAAAGATCAAAATAAAATTTTAATCTGACTATTTACGTTTTTCTCTTTTTTTTTTTTCCTTTTTTTCTTTTTTTTATTTGCGGCCTTAACAATTTCTTTTATTGCAATAGCCATTCCCCTGTTCTGATGTTGCCCCATGGTCCTGAATCTGAATCATGTTAATCCGTGTTGGGACCCGAACACAAAAAACAAAAACCCAATTTAAGCCCCTAAATTAATATTATATTCTAAAATGATCCTCTAAACTTTTTTTTTAAAGCAGATAAGCCTATGAACCCCACATTCTGAAGAATTTTGCCCTCTTCTATGTCTTTCTTTATCTACAACTTCGTAGTATGTTGTTAAGAAGAGAGAAAAATTGCACAAAATGTGAGGTTTAAGAGCTTATCTACTTTTAAAAAATGTAAGGGCTCAATTGAGAATATGAAATTAGTTTAAGAACTTAACATGGGGTTTGCCAATGTAAAATGTCTTTCCCAAGCGAAAGAGACCCGTGAGGGAGGCCCTGGCTGAGATGTCAATAACAGAGTTTTGGTATCATATGCAATTCCTGTAGAGAAATCATGACAATGGGAAAGATGAGAAATCTCCAGACATGGACGGGGGCCCTTATGTTTCTACATTTTGGAAGACATACCATGTGGCTGGTATTATGTTTTAGAGATTAGAATTGCTATAGCAAACAAAAATTCAATTGAATGCTGAAAACAAATTGCTAAATACCACTCAAGTTGGGCAGAGAAGTGCATAAAAGCAGATGGCATAATTTAGGAAGGAGCTGTAGAACAGTGGTCAATATTACATATGCATTCCCTTTGGCCTAACAATGCCAGTTCTTAGCAACCCCAGTAAACAGGAATGGGAGAGCCGTGCTACTCTGGTTGCTGGATCATTGGGGAAGTTCCAGTCATTCTCTCCTTCCTAGTGCTTCCTCATCTTCGACCTTGCATACCTAGAAAACCAGGAAAACATGTGATTTGATGTCGTGCGATAAAAGGACCATGTAGAAGGTGCATTCCAAAAGGGAGATTGAAAAGCAAATACTCTATGTGCATGCCGCCTCTGTCTGATGATGATAACAGGCTACTTTGAAGAACCTCCATGACTTCTGTGGCTTGCTCTACTTCCTATGATGCAAAGAGGGGAACGGAGAGGGGAGGGGACGTCAGAAGATGATGCATTCAAAATACAGGAAGACAACAAGATATGTTTTGCAGAATCCTTGAATCTCATGCATCAAAAAGGGAAAACCCTACGATAATGCATGGCCAACTTCACATAGTAAATTTACCAGTTTGAAAACAATTAAACCACTGGAGATGCATGCACAAGAAGCCAAGAAGCATATTTGATGCAATTAAACTAACATTTGGTGAAGTCTGTCATTCCATAATAAAATTTACACTCTCAAAACAATTTCAGGTAATTACATCACATGAATATATTTCTCAATTTGGACAAATTTTTCATTCCCATTGAAACTCCTTTATGTGACAAATGGGTCTTGCATGTTACTATATTCTGAAGAAAATTGAATGTGCTAATTGCCTTGCAGATTCAATACACATTTATAGTTCAGTAAGGTTTTTTTTTTTTTTGGCCAACCTGGCCATGATCCTTAAGACTTTTAAGTTCAGTAAGTTTGGATACCTCAAAATCAGCAAATGCAACTGGCATTCCACCTCTATTCCGAATCTTGAGCACATTGAAACCAGGATACCTGGAGGCAAATATGAATAGAAGTTCTGAGTTTACACTTTACTAACATATGAAAATGCTCAGAGAATGAAGTACAAAACCTAGCACTTTGCTTATACAATGTAAAAAATTTCAACCAAAATTGCAGTAATATGCATGCAACTTACTGTGACAGAACTTGTTTCAGTTCATCTTCTGTACAATTTGGACCTAAATTAGCTATAAACAAAGTGGAACATGGTGGAATACCTTCATCAGCAGTCTTCTCAGACCGCTCCTGCAGTAGCCATAAATAATTAAGGGCAAGGCTAAAAAAACATAGTTTCAAAAATGAACCATCAAAATAATTGTGAAAAAAACTGAATAAAATTAAAATAGACTAATGACCCCATATAAAGTTGAGAATTGGAATTTGTTTCCTGATTTGGCTAGCAGTTATCGCTTGTTTATAAGGTAGGTCATACATTTTCTTTTAGTTTCCAATGAAAATTACAATAGAATTCACACAAGGAATGGAGCAAGAATAGATCTAAATTTTCATTCTCTTTTACTTGCAGTAAATGGAACATCTTCAAATGCAAAGGAGATTATTTAAAATTAATTGGTAAATGGTTTTAACTTACATTTCCAGCCACTTTACCATCTTCATGATCATCAGCCGTCTCACTGCACATTACATAACAAATAAAGACCAACTTAGAAAGGAACAAAAGAGTGCAGGATTATTGAAGCTTAGCACTGGCTATATGTTGCAAACATTGAAATATTAGAACTATGAAAAATAAATAACATATCTAGACTGCTTTGAACCTCTTTGTAGTCTGTATTCCATCTTTTATGTCAGAATCAGCATCAGCAGCACTAGATGCTTCATCGGTTTCACTTTCTTCTGTGTATGGAAAAGGTGCAAACATAATTAAGTTAGGTTTAGGTTCAAGTTGAAGGGACAGTGTTCCCCTCCAGAATCTTTTGTTGAAAATTTAATAATCTCTTTGCCACTAGGAGAAAGGCCAAGATTCAATAAGTAATACAAATATTCAATTGGTGTGATTAAGAGGAATTCATTGGTTGGCACTTTACCATCATCACCTGACGTTTCTTGGGCATTTTCTGATGCTTTAGTTCTTTTGTCAATAACTACATAGGGACCGCTACCTGTCAAGATAGAAAGAAAACCATACCATGAGCATTAGAGATCCATAACAACACTGATTTGAAAATGATATGAGCTTATAGTTTCAAACAGAAAGCACATTTGCAATTACTGACCAGGCCCAGATTTTCTTCTTGAGTTTGATCTGGCCAGCTCAATATGAAGGACTGATCCATTTTGAGGGTCAAACTTTACACCCTATACATTGCATTGAAGGAACCAACAGAATTAAAAGGATCCAAATATCCAATGCTTCAGCCATTTTTATCTCCAGAAAGCTATTACACATTCAAGTTCGAAATCAAGATCAGGCCATCCAATAATAAACAAAATGGAAAATAAAGCCTGCTTCCCACTTGAATCCTTTCCAATGCAGTTTTCTCATGCTTCATTCATCCTCTGATCTTATTTAATCTGACTTTTTATGAAATGGTTTTGCTGAACTAGGTTTCTTAAAACCTCACTATAAGTAATTAAGAGATTCTTCTCATAAATTGAAGATGATAAAATTCTAGCAAGCAAACTCCACAGCGCAAATACAAATTATATTCAAAATCATATATCATGCATATGGCATTTATTCCATAAAACAAATACACCATCATAAATAATCTAAGCCAGGAAAAATATATGAAGAAACAAAACTTTCCAGTAAAAGAAAGAGAAAGGAATATATTCTCACATTTAATGCATGCAACGCAGCAATTGCTGATTGATGATTGCAAAAGGTAGCAAATGCAACAACCTGTTAGCAAGAAATGAAGATTTAAGATGTTACTTTGTCCACCTTTGCTGATCTTAGCTATGTTGAGGGTGCTTAAAAGTCTCTACATAGTACAGAAACAGTAAAATTCTTTTCAGCTACCAAATAAAGTAAAACATAAAACCTCAACACAATAAGAATATTATCCTGCAAAACACCTCTTATGACCAAAGCTTGTAATATTGCAATCAAACTGAGCACTTCAATTCATCATCATATCAAAATATCATATTAGAACTACTGATAATTATTTCATTTTCAAATTTGAAAGAGGAAAATTTCAAAGGTAATGTAGGTTTTAATCCCAATTCAGACACTGATGACATTCTTGCTGTATTACTTAGTATAAAATGAATTTTCCTTGGAGCAGCATAACTCCAAATGCTAGTC